CTTCAAGAGACTCACCCAAAACATAAGGATTTCTATAAACTCAAGGCAAAGAGATGAAAAACAAATACTACAAACAAATAGAAACCAAAAGTGAACAGGAGTAGCTATTCTTATATCAGACAAAACAGATTTTAAAGCAATGACAGTAAGAAGAAAACAAAGTAAAGTGACAGGATAAAAAATCGACACACAAAAATAAGTATCATTTGCGTATGCTAATAATGATCCATCTAAAAAAAAAATCAGGAAAGCAATAGCAACAAACGAAATAAAACAAAATACCAAGGGAATAACTTAAACAAGGAGTTGAATGATCTCTACAGTGAAAACTATAAAACATTAATGAAGGAAAATGAAGAAAACACAAATAAATGGAAAGATATCCAGTGTACACAGATTGAAAGAATTAGTATTCTTTAAATGTTCTTACTACCCAAAGTAATCTACATTCAATATAATCTTCATCAAAATACCAATGGCATCTCTCACAGAAGTAGAAAAACAATCATAAGATTTGTATAGAAATACAAAAGATCCTGAATAGCTAAAGAAATATCGAATAAAAAGAACAAATCTGGAGGCAATATACTACCTGGCTTCAAAATACACTACAAAGATATAGTATCAAAAATAGTACACTACTAGCATAAAAATAGATACATAGTAATTGAAATGAAGAGAAACAAACCTAGAAATAAATGCATATATTTACAGCCAACCTATTTTTTAAAAAGGCATTAAGAAAACACATTGGTGACTGAATGGTCAGTCTCTTCAATAAATGGTGCTGGGAAAACTGGATATTCTACAGGCAGAAGAATGCAACTAGACTCCACATTTCTCATCATAAAGAAAAACCAACTCTAAATGAATTGAAGGCTTTAAAAAAGGCCAAGAATTACAAAACTACTAGATGAAAACATGGAGAAAACACTTCACAAAGCTGGACAAAGTTTTTTTCTGTAAGACCTCAAAATTACAGGCAAGAAAAACAAAAAAATAGACAAATGGGATTGCACCAATCTAAAATGCTTCTGATAAATCAAAATCAACAGAGTAGAAACAATCTACAGAAGTTGAAAACTAGGTATCTTACAAGGGATTAATATCCAAGATGTGTAAGAAACTCAAACAACTTAATAACATAAAATGAAATAGTTTGTTATGAAAATGGGCAAAGTACCTAAACAGACATTGCTTAAAATAATACATACAAATGACAAACAGGTACATGAAAAAAAAATGCTCCTTAAAATCAAAATGACCATGAGCTATCACTTAACCACAGTTATAATGGCTATCATTAAAATGACAAAAACTACCAAATGCTGGTGAGGATGTGGAGAAAGGGCACATTGTTGGTAAAAATGTAAATTAGTACATCCATTATATACAACAGTATGGAGGTTCCTCAAAAAAGTAAAAATAGAACCATCATACATTACAGCAATTCCATTACTGAGTAAATATCCAGAGAAAATTAAATACGCATTTCAAAGTCATATCTGCACTTCCATGTCTATTGCAGTGCTGTAAACTTTTTGCTGTGTTATCATAAGAAAATAATGACTCTGTGTACATGAATTACTTTATAACCTATAAAACACTTAAATATATATACATATACATTTAAAAACTGGAATGTTTACGCTTGAAGACACAGTTATTAGGCTCAAGACAACCACAAAATACCTATGTATGATTATCATGGTGAAGCTGGATAAACATTGTCCAGATCTTGAAATATAATAAAAAGTATATATGAAAGGAAGATGTATTCCTATTAAGCCTCAAATAGTAATACTATTCACCGTAAAACACAATGAAATTTCAACTTGTAATAACATGGATAAGACTTTGTTAAGTGAAATAAGACAGGTACAGAAATATAAATTCTGAATGATGTCACTCATTTGTGGAATCTAACACAAGATGATATCACAGAAGTAGAGAGTAGAATAATGGTTACCGGAGGCTGAGGACAATAGCCAAAGGGAGGTATAGGAGAATCTGGTCAATAGGTACAAAGACATGAAAATAAGTCATGGTGTTCTATTACACAGTGGGGTGACTATAGCTAATAATAATGTATTATGTATTTCAAGATAGTAGAATCAAATAATTGAATGTTGATATGGTTTGGATCTGTGTCTCCACTGAAGGTCATGTTGAATTATAATCCCCAGTGTTGCAAGTGGGGTTTGGTGGGAGGTAACTGGATCATGGGAGTGGATTTCTCATGATAGTTTAGCATCATCCCCTTGGTGCTGGTCTCAGGATAATGAGTGAGTTCTCATGAGATCTTGTTATTTTGAAGTGTGTAGTATCCACACCCCCACGATCCATTGCTCTTGCTCTGGCCATGTGACATGCCTGCTCCCTCTTTGCCTTCCACCATGATGGCAAGTTTTCTGAGGACTACTCAGAATCCAAACAGATTCCACTATCATGCTTCCTGTGCAACCTGCAGAACTGTGGGCCAATGAAACCTCTTGTCTCTATAAATTATCGAGTCTCAGGTATTTATAGCAATACAAAAATGGATTAATACAAATGTAATAGCCACAAATAATAAATGTTTAAAGGGGTGAACATGCTAATTACCCTGGTTTGATTATTATGCTATATATACATGCATTTAACTCACAACGGTACCCCATACATATGTACAATTATTACATGTCAATTATAAATAAAACTTTTTGAAATGATATAAACTACTATACTGTGTAAAATGTCTTAGAATGCATTTAATAAGGTGGTTTCTATATTTATATACTCTTTTTATTGTCTTAAACCTTTTGCAAAACAAAGAGGGAGATAAATTGATGATACATGAATAGAAAGATTAATAAGTAGATATACAAATCATATAGACACATTGTATATGCATATGTCTACATAAATACATGAAACACTGAGCCTTTGAAATTATTGCAAGTTTGAAGAATCTACAATTACATATATTGATTTTAAGAATGAAATTATAAGCCATGTTTCCGAGTTGTTAACCTATTGCAAACTCTTAGGAAATAAATATTTCTCATTCAAGAACCACCTCTTCTAATCTTTTCATTATTATAGAAAAAATGAGTTAATGTATACAAATAACTGCACAACCTATAAAACACTGAAAATATGTATACATACATTTATAAAGTAAAATATCTATGTTTGAAGACATGATTTCTAAGCTTAAAAACAACCACTAATATATTAATATATGATTATAGTGCCAATGCTGGATAGACATTGGCAATATCTTAAGATATAATATATGTATGTATATTTATATAGCCTGATATATATATATAGCTGATATAGTTTGAAATATTTCTATTAATCCTCAAATTCTAGAACAGACTCTTAGTCTTAACATTGGATTTGTCATAGACAAAATTCTAAGAAAGACTCCCAACAACCATTCCTTCGGAGTGTGTGTAGAATTTGTGAATAACAGGAGATGGCATTCTTATTACATGCTACATTATGAAGTACAACTGATCCTTATGAAAAAGACATTATTTAGGTTGGTTGAATCTAATCATTTGAGCCCTTTAGGAAACAAAGCTTTTCCTCAACCGATAGTGGTTTATGAAGGCTGAGAAAAGACTGATTTAATTATGAGGACTCCATGAACTATTTCAGGTTTGAAGATGTAGGGGGTGGTATTTGAGAAGAAATTTAGACAATTTCTAAGAGCAGAAAGCAGTTCATAGCTGACAGCAAGCAAGAAAACAGAGATACCAGAACTAGAGCCACAGGGAATTAAATTCTACCAGCTGAAATGTGCTTAGACACTGCGTCTTTCTTAGAGTCTCCAGGTAACACGCAGTTCAGCTGACAATTTGATTTCAGTCTTGTGAGACCCTAAGCAGAGGACCTAGTTAAACCTGCCTAAGCTTTTGAATTATAAAATTACGAGATAAAAAATAATTATTGTTTTACGTCACTAAATTTGTAATAATTTTCTATGTAGCAATAGGAAACTGGTACATGCTCATTATAAAAACATAATTGGCTCTCTAGGATATTAGTAGATCATACACATTTAATTAAGAATGGCAATGAGAGATTAATTCAAGAGATGATAATGCAGAAGGCAAGTATTGCTGGTTGCTCAGTCATGATTTAGATTTTAATATATGCTGATAGAGTAAATGCATTAGAGATTAATATTTTCGTAAGCCACTACAGACTATGAAATGCTCAACAAAATAGTCTAGGTTTAGAAATTATACTTTGCTTTAAATCATCACTTTTCAGGAAAACATCAGTAGATATTCTCATTAAGTCAGACAGTAAAGTAATTAGATCATAGAAATCTAAATTATAGAAGGCTCCCATCCCAGCTCCAATGCCTCTAGAGTTTATTATTGTGTAAGATCAGTTATAAACTTTGAATCAAACCACTAATATTTTTGTAGTTTACTTCTTATAGTAGCTGATATTTAATAAAACTATTTCTTAAGACAAAAATAGTTAAGATATGCTAAAAAGAGCTAAATAAGAGCCACATGTTTAAATGCCTCTCTGTATAATACTAGTATTCATCTATTAATGGGGTGAAATTGTGAGTTTAATAAAAATGTACTAACTCAGATATATCTATATGTTTATAAGTTTAAAAAGCATCTAGTTTTGTTTAAAATATTTTGTGTATAAGCAGACCATAAGTTTAAGATGAGAGAAAGACATATAAAGTTATGCAGATGATTTAACAAAAGTTACAGGAATGAAAGGGAAATCAGGATCACAACTGATCTTCACAGATTAATGTTTAGATTTGCCTTTTTTCCATGTAAGTTACAACTACATGAAAAAATTAAATAAGTACTTTATTAAAGTGTGAAAACCAATTATTTTTAATATTTGTAGCTAGATTTAGTAAACAACAATAAGTGAAAGTAAGCATTAAACTTAGAATTTTAGAGAGCATAAAACATAAGTGTCTCCTTTGGCTTTGTCCCTTTAAGTCCGAGTGCCCTTGGCCTCTTTATGATGTCACCTTACAACATCACTAGTTTGAACTTAAAATACTTAAGTCCTGGCAAGTCATAGGTGGGGGAAATGTCTCTCCCACGATTGTAAGTCAAATTTTATGTTTTAAAATACTAAAATACTCACTAGCTTTACATTTAACTTCTTTAGTGTGAAGAGGTGTTTATTATATTATTACTGTGCCATTCATAAGCAAAAGATAAAGTGTTTAGCAGATGAAGTTTCTCAAGCAACGTAATAGATTTTTTTTTTTAATTCAAGATATAGCTATTACATGCATTTCAGCAAAATAGATACCTGGCTTTAAATAAGTCTTTTTTGTTTGTTTGTTTTTTTATGGTGAGTCTTACTTGATTTCTTATTACATTGTATTTTGGGTAATATAAAATAAAATAATTTATGATTTTCGGTCAGGGAACCACTTGGAAATTTCTGTGAATTATTTTTGTGTATGTAATAGTGACTGAGGATTGTGACCGAATTTAAAGGAGGCATATATCACAGTGGTAACCTTTAGTAAAAAGTGGGGCAGCTCTATCAGAATATGACCAACCAAATACTAATTGTATCCCTCTTGCAAAATATTGAGTATGTGAAAGTAGTTTGTTATATAAAGCAGCTAATCCAGACATGAGAAGTAAGTCATATAGTAGTATGCTTATGCTTAAATTATTCTGTGTTAAAATAAGGTAGGTAAAGAACAGGTTTCAATTCTGTAAACCTTTTTTACAGAGGACATGGAACAAAAGTAAAGGAATGGAGTTTTGAAATGTAAAGTATGGGCGGGACTTCATTCAGCAGTATTGTTAAAAGAAAGATAAAACATGAATATTGAAAATAAAATAGGCTTTCCATAGATACTGGTGTCTACTTTCTTATAAAAACAATAATTTTAAAGTATAATGCTTGGTAAAGGTTTAAATGCATTTGTTGTGATTTAGAAGCTGAGTAACTTGATGCCTTTAAGTCTGGTTCTGCTGGTGAGAGCATGTCTTTCCTCTCTGGTACAGTCAATAACTGCATTGTTTGATTTTAGGTTAAACCAACCTCATATTCTGGAAAGTAAACCAGATGGTTATCATGTATTAGCAATTTTACATATTTGTCAGTACTATTTAATTTTAAGAAATTATGTGTCTATATTAATGATAGATATAATATGCATTTTTAGTATTGACCTCAAGAGGATTTGGGTTATTTATATTAGCCTTAAAAATGAGTTGGAACATACTTACCCCTCCTCTACTTCTTTTCTTATACTATTTTCCTAATTTTAATGGAGAGATTTAAAACACTGATTTTAAACATTTTTAATAATATAAAACATTAAAACTATAAGTTATTCTCTATGAACTTTTAAGCAATATTCTATAATTTTCATATATTAACTTATTATTCAGTAGCTTCTTTTTCAGTAGGTTTTCATTGTGATCTCTGTTTGACCACTGGTTCTTTAAAAGGAGCTGTTAATTTTTCAAATATTTATATATTTTCTAGATAATTTTATTATTGATTTTAATTTAAATTGCTTTGTGATTAAAGAAGATGTCCTAGAAATTATAGAAGAAATTGATGGATCATTCCAGCATTAGGAGAAATACCTAATGTAGATGACGGATGATGGATGCAGCAAACCACCATGGCATGTGTTTATCTCTATAACAGACCTGCACACTCTGCACATGTACCCCAGAACTTAAAGTATAATAATAATAAAATGAATAAGTAAAGCTTAAAAAATGAAAATCTCATGTTTAATAATGTTTCATGAACTTGAAATATTTCCTCATTCAGAGCATTTGGAATAATGCAGTTCATAACCACCACTGGACATTAAAATTTCTTCTGCAGTATATAAACGTCGTTTGACTGGATCTGAATTTAGATATTTAGATATTATGGGGCAAGTAATTTTGGGGCATGGGTACAGTTTAAGAAAATGATAGACTGGATAACTTACTGGTGAAAACATATTAAATGTTATTCAATTAATACAAATTTTTATAGAGTGAAAAAATGTGCCATGCTTTATACTGGTAGCTTCATTCTTTAGTCAAGGTATCAAGACACTGCTTTTTCTGTTTTTTTTTTTTTTTTTTTTTTTTTTTTTTTTTGAGACGGAGTTTCGCTCTCGTTACCCAGGCTGGAGAGCAATGGCGCGATCTCGGCTCACTGCAACCTCCACCTCCCAGGTTCAGGCAATTCTCCTGCCTCAGCCTCCTGAGTAGCTGGGATTACAGGCACGTGCCACCATGCCCAGCTAATTTTTTGTATTTTCAGTAGAGACGGGGTTTCACCATGTTGACCAGGATGGTCTCGATCTCTTGACCTCGTGATCCATCTGCCTCGGCCTCCCAAAGTGCTGGGATTACAGGCTTGAGCCACCGCGCCCGGCCTGAATCTGCTTTTTCTATACTTAAACCTTAAATTTTACTATACATCTGTCAAAATAAACACTACATGAGGCACATAAGCCTCAAACTCACTCATGCCCAACGATCGATCGCTCTATATTCAAAATATAATGAAACTATGTAAAATAATATTTCTTTAATAGATTGTAGGGTTTGTCTCCATCACCAATAAATAAAGATTAGATTGTAACACTCTCCTTCACGGGAACAAACATGTTTAGATAGTAATAAATCAAATGGGAAACTATAAATGGAAAATAATTTGCAATGTAGTTTTGTTTTTCAGATTTTCTTTAAAATGTAGCAAAATTCCTTATGAATTTTTGTGGTCCACACTGACATATACACGTGCACACACAAATTCACAGGTGCACATATATGCCATTTAATAATTTGGATTTGGTAAAGTTTGGAGAGTATTTTGAGGATATGCTTTTACATAAACATAGGGTTTACAAAGTGATATCTTGTTTCAAATTGAATTGCAAGAGAATTTGAAACATGAAATGAGAAAAATAATTCAACTGTTTTTCTAATTTTGTAAATGTATATTTTCGGATGTGCAATTTGTTTATATATATGTGTGTGTGTGTATACACACACACACACACACACACACACACACGTATCTATTAGACAGATATATGTATATATAGTTTGTATGGCCAACCACTATTTAGTACTGTTGTAATTTGAAAACACATTGGCTAATCTCTTCTATCCTGGAGATGAAGTAATCTTATATTGTTAAAGATATCTGAGAATGTGAAGTATTTCTCTAGTTGTTAGTTGTAAGTGCTGAAGCATAATAACGCCAATTTAGAACACTGATTTTATATAAATTAACTAAGATCTTTCTTTTATATTTTAATAGCCAAAAAGTAAACTTTGGGACATATGATAATTACATTCCAGGTAAGAAAGCATTCAATATTTATTTCAAAACATGTGTGATTAATTTTATGTCAAGTATTACTCTCTATTCAAAGTGATAAAGCAAACATTGCCATGGAATCAAATTGATAATCAACTTTCTATTTCCCAAGGAACCTTTCTTACAGGTACATGGAACACCTTTTACATGTATTTTGCTTTGTTTTGAATCCAAGGAATTTTAAGTAAATATGTTCAGCAACATAAAGTTGGAAATAGTTACATGTTAGAACTCATACAATCAGATAATCTTACAGTTGAAAAGCAATGTAGAAATTAGATAAACAATTTCTTGTTTACGTTTATTATATCTAATTTTAAGCTGGATAGTATCTATCAGGAATGCTGATTATTCCTCTACAACATTCCTGATAAATTATATCCAGCTTAAAATTAGACCAAAATTTCTTTGCTAGACAAGGCAAATGTATCTGATTTTGGAGGACTTCAAAAATCAATTACATTCCCCTCAGATATTGAGCTCAAATATGATTTTTTTCTGTACATTTTTCCACTGTTCCTATTTTCTTTAGAGGACTCATAGGAAATGTCTATTATTTCCACACATTAATACTGCATGTATCTAAATACAATGATGAAATCTCTCATTGGTCTCATTGGTAACCGAAGTATCTTTAATCATTTCTAGTATAGTTTCCAGCTTACTTCACCCTCCCAGGCACCATTCTGTAGACTTTTTGTCAATTTCTTTATTAAATATGTCACCTATAACAATGCCATTCTTGGGTGTAGAACATTTACTCTTGTAGCTTGGAAAGTTATTATTAACTAAGGGGATCTTAAGCCTTAGCATTTAGATGAAATCATGTATTTTCTGAATATTTTATGTCAGCATTGTGCTAAGTAGTGTGGGAGCTACAAAAGTAGTTAACTTATTTCCTGTTGTTAATAAAATTGTATGCTAACCAAAAGTATGAAGCAAAAACCTGGATTGGAAGAGATAGAATTAAAGGGAAGCAGTAAAACTGAATCTTTCCATTTAGTGATATTAGTTTTGCAACAACTACTTTATATAGTTATCTGTAAAACTGGTCAAAATTGAAAAATCAATTTTTATTTTCTCATATTGATGACAGAAAATTGCAAACATTACCAAATAAATGAAGCCATAATTTGAATCACTTGTTTATTCATTTACATGATATATGTTGCACTTAATGCCATTTCAGCTCTGATGAAATTCTATTCATTTCAAAACGTGTGCCTTGTCTTTCTTATTTTAGTCAGTGAATTAAGCAAAAAATCATGGAATCAGCAACACTTTGCCCTGTCATTCCCAAAACCACAACGGCCAGGAAAAAAAAGAAGATCAAAACCTTCTCAGATAAGGGACAATACAGGCCCTGTAAGTACTGGAAAGATAACATAATTATCTGTAATAAGTAATAACTTAGTAATAATTATGACCACATTAAGTAATTACAAGTATTAGTCTTAAGTAATCACTCATGAGTAGAAAGCTTATGAAATCATGTATAGTTTTATGTGTTATAGATCAAAGCTGACAAAGTTTCAGCAATGATGGCAATATTTATCTCTATAGTCCAATGAGGCTATTAAATACTTAAAATGAGGCTAGTGTAACTGAGGAATTGAATTTTACATTTAAATTACATTTAAATTTTACATTTAAATTACATTTAAATTTTACATTTAAATTTAATTTACATTGAATTAAAGCAAATTCCCACGTGGCTATGAAATGCCATATTGAACAGCACAGGAAGTAATTCAAATTCTACTCCTTAAAAAAGTAGGTATGTTTTATTTGCATTTTACTGTATACAACTGCCCCCTTTATTTCATATTAACTATTTTTTTAGTAACCCTTTATTACAAAAAATTTGTAATAAAGGGTTACTAAATAAGTAACTCTTTAAGTTTCCAGTAAGTAAAAAAATATGGAGATCCTAATGTTAGAGTTAGTATGAACTTTCGGAAAATGTTCTTCAGCTGGAGAAACCCCCTCATTTGAATAATGGGATTACATTATACCTTTAATACTTCCTCAGTTCTGTAATACAGAATTCAGGATACAGAGTATTGGAAAATAAATATTTCCCAATGTTTCTGGAGTCAACATGGGATATGCATATTTTCAAAGTAAAGTTTTCACAAAATAAATGTATCATTAACTTGTTTATTTTTTAAAATGTATCCCATTGGTAGTGAACAAAGTTCTTTTTCTTTTTTTCTTTGGTGAATTTATTTTTCCATTGTTAATATTTGTACCAATATTGGCTATTTTTGTCATTTAGTTTTGTACATGTCTAATTAGAAGTTGAAAATAAAATGCACAATCTCAAACTAACATTCCCTGTTACAGATTTTATTATTTTGGTTACCAATCTGATGATACTCAATTTGTATCTCACTAAGCAATAGGAGTTTCAGGCTTTTATCTTTAACTATGAGTAGCATTCTAAATTTCAGAGACTCTGAAAATGAAAATAGACTAAGATATGCTTCAACCTGAAACTATTAGATATTAGAGAACAGTTTCTGAGTTACCAAAAATTAGAAGTTGGACAAAATATTCCAAGAATTCTCAAGAACATAGAGTTTTTTTTTTTTCTTTTCTTTTTTTTTTTTTTTTTAAGCCTCCTATGATTGTGAAGAGAGGTTCTGATATGCCTTGAGTCAATGGAGATCTCCACCAATTTGAACCTAAAATCCTGAGGGAACTATGAAAGTCCTATGAACTGAAAGTAAGCTCCAAATAAGGCACGAGTATTCACTAGTTTAAAAAAGAGGATGAAAATTTTAAAAAACAAAACCAAAATAAATGATGAAATCTGTAACTTCCCCACTTTTCAACAAAAGCTAAAATCTCTTTATGGTTAAAGTTAAAATATATTTGGGATATACTAATAAAAAACTGTGTAATTGACCCACAAGTTGTTCATCATTATTGTAACCAATCTTTCAGATAATCGACGAAGAACAATTAAGAGGAGGTCATAGACGACCATTATGGATGTACCGTTCTTTAATGAGAATTTCCGAGAGACCATCTGTTTATTTAGCTGCCAGGAGGCAGCCTCTCAAACCAACTCGTGCTGCCAAGGCAGATTCTAAAGCAGCAGGTGGAGAGCACTTACTGTTTTTATATTGTCTCTGTAAATTTTCTGATTAGGTTTCTATTAGAATTTTATCAGGTTTGGATTTTCTATTTTAAGAAATATTTGAATATTTATTCCCAGATATTGGTAAAAAAGGTGAAGACAAGTCAACAGAGAAGGACACAACAGGTTCCGAATCAGAATTAAAACAAGGGAAAAAAGATTTAAAGAAACGCAAGGATGTAGATAAAGGAACAGATGAAAAGCTAGATGCAAAGAAAGATAGCAAAAAAGGTGAAAAAGATGCAAAGAAGGGAAAAGACTCAGCCACAGAATCTGAAGATGAAAAAGGAGGTAAAAAGAAAGGTAAAAAGGATGCAAAGAAGGGAAAAGACTCAGCCACAGAATCTGAAGATGAAAAAGGAGGTGCAAAGAAAGATGCAAAGAAAGACAAAAAAGATTCAAAGAAGGACAAGGATTCAACCACAGAATCAGAATCTGTAAAAGCAGATGAAAAGAAGGCTGAGGATGAGAAAAAAGATGCAAAGAAAGGTGACGACCCAAAGGATGCCAAGAAAGATGCCAAGAAAGATGCAAAGGAGAATAAAAAGGATAAGAAAGATAAGAAGAAGCCCAGTGGTACAGACAGTGACTCGAAGGATGATGCCAAGAAAGAGTCAAAGAAGGATGCCAAGAAAGATGCAAAGACAGATTCTGACAAAGAATCTTCTGATTCAAAGAAGGATTCAAAGAAGGATGCAAAGAAAGATGCAAAGAAGGATGCAAAGAAGGATGAAAAGAAGGATGCAAAAAAAGATGCAAAGAAGGATGAAAAGAAGGATGCAAAGAAGGATGAAAAGAAGGATGCAAAGAAGGATGAAAAGAAGGATGCAAAGAAAGATGCAAAGAAGGATGAAAAGAAGGATGCAAAGAAGGATGAAAAGAAGGATGAAAAGAAGGATGCAAAGAAAGATGCAAAGAAGAAGGGCAAATAGGTCTTAAATAAGAAATCAAACTGAAAGAATAATTCAAAAGCATATTTGATGAAACAATAGCGGTATTCTGCAACTGAATTTGTGAGTAAAAAAGAGGTTTCAAAGAATCATGATGTTTAAAAAGGGGCAAAGAAGGATACAAAGGAGAACTCAGAAGAAATTTATAAAAATATAAGAAAGATGTTTAAAAAATTAAGGGGGAATCCATTGAAAGACTTGAAGAATGCATACGCTTAAATTTGGGGATAGGAAGGACTCAATGAATGATCTCTAGAAAGATTTAAAGAAGAATATTCAAATAAGGATGTAGAAGATAAGGAAACCAAATCCATGGACACACACACACACACACACACACACACACACACACACACACGTTTAATAAAGGCTTAAAAATCCCAAGGAGGGAGATACTGTATCTATAGATTTAAAATAATCTCAAATTGCATCCACAAATTTAGAGAATGAAATATAGGAGCCATGAATTGAAGTTAAACACCTTTAAGAAAGTCTACTTTCAAGTAAATATAGCATCCCTCTGGGGGAAAAAAAAGAAGTAAAAGAAAAAATTACTTCCTTAGGAGCCAACATCTTTCTTTCTGAAGTTTAAACAACCACAACCATGTTTATGGTTGCTGGATGTCCCACTTCCAAGCCAAAAGAAGCACTCTTGGTAAGTTAGTTTGGTTTTATTTCAAGCCAAATTGAATGAATGTTTTTCTTTTTAATTTTTGTGGACACTTAGTAGATGTAACAATAATTGAACCAAATTATAGTTAGATAGAAGGAATAAGTTCAAAAGATCTATTATACAGCATGGTGACTATAGTTAATGATAACGTATTGTATTTCTGAAATATGCAAAGAGAATGAACATTGTCTTCTCATTGCATAAATGATACCCATGTGAGATGACGCTTATGTCAATTAGCAAGATTTCAGCATTTCACAATGTATACGTACTTCATAACATCCTATTGTTCATGATAAATTAAAATAAATAAATTTGAAATACAAATTATTGAACTGATATAGAGGTTTAAATTGACACTGTTCTTATATTATCTCTGTAATTTTTTGATTATGTTTCTTTTAGAATTTTATCAAGTTTGGCCTCTGTCATTTTAAGAAATATTTGAAGAACATGGAGAGACAACCAAGTAAATGAAGCTTTAGAAAGTGCCCTTGAAAAGGTTAGGGAAGTCTCTCATGAGGGAGAGGATACTAGCCTATAATATATGATATCATTACCAATTAATCATCCACAGTTTTGAAATAGAAAGTAACCAATTTATTTTGATTTAAAGAAGGACAAAAATCAAAATTGTCTAAATGACCAACAAGAACAAATTTAAATGAGGCATATGAAAGAGCTACTTGATAAACAGCCAAATACATCACAAAACTAAATAAACCAGAATTTAACAGTGTAACAAAGGATATATACATAGCATTTATTTAGATGTGAAAACAATTAACTTTATATCTTTAAAACTATATTAAACTCTTTTGTGACCCTTAAGTCCTATTGATTTGAGGAAAAACAAAAAGCAATATTAAGCAAAATGCAATATCCTTGAACTTCCCAAGTAGTGGCAATTTATTCATTTCTGATTTACCATTTTCTGAAATAAACCCAATGTTGTTGCAGAAATTGCTAAATGATTTTCTCTCCACTTTATTCTTCCTGACATAAACTTTGGATGCAACACAAATCTTCTCCTGGACATTAAAGGAAGGGTCTCCTATTCTGTATGTTCTCAAAAGCTAGCTTCCAAGGAACAGTAAGGAATAACTGTCTTGCTTAAACATTAAACATTGGGTCCTGTCCCTCCTGCATCAACTACTAAAAGTCAGTGGTTATTATAACTCATGACCTGCCAGGAGATCTCACCTTGTTAGTCTGGATGAACGATAATGGCAGAGCAAGTCAAATTCTGGCCCTTTGTTCTCCTTCCATTCCCTCTAGTAACCTGCTCATCATATTCCTCTGCTGATGGTGAAATTACGTGTTTAGATTGTTAAACTTTTCTGGAAATGTTGGCATCTCACTGAAGATTTAGGAAACCATTTCAAATCCTCTTTTTCCTCTGTAAAAAGGCGCTTAACAGTATTTTAAACAATAGGATTCAAAAATCAGGTTTTAGATTGAAATTTAATGTACAATGACAGAAAAATTGAGCTTCTACCTTTACTATCCCACTTATGTAGGTGCAGCATCACATGTAGTTAAATCTAATAGCAGTGCCCTTTCATCCAGTACCTCCTTGTTTTTATCTGTACTGTTTCCTCAGTGATTCCAATAAAAGATAAAAATTTAATACGTGGCTTTACATAGCATTCTTATGCTGTTGAATCTTGTATTTAAACCTAGTATTTACTTATTTACTCAGCTCCATATTCCCATATACAAATACTTAATTAAGGCATCTAGTTGACTATTGTCCAGGTATCTCAAAATTAACAAGTCCCAAAAAGAACTGTTGACATGCCTCCATCAATGCCTCTTTCTCCCCAAGTTCTCCCCAACCCATTAAATGACACTGGTACCCTGTCTGTAGCTTAATCCACAATCAGGGAGTCATCCTTAATTATTCTTTCTTCACCCTTCCTACCAGTAGTAAGTCCCATCCTGTCTACCTACAAAATACTTGAATTGGTATAATTCATTATATTTTGACCACTTCTGCCCACTAGAAATCCAGTCAACCATTATCTCTCACTTGGAAACTCCAAAAGCCTTCTAAGTACAGGAGAAGCCCCTTCTTCGTTTATCTCCACAGTACCATATCCCATTCTCCATACAGAAACCATCATGTTTCTCCCATGGTCAAAGCTTTCTAGTGTATGGATACCACACTTAGCATTAACTTTTCTTTTGCTCTGGCTTATAAATCCTTTAATGATCTGTCTGCTGACTATTTCTCTGCCCTCATGTGGCAACACTATTTCTTTTGTCTACCAGGCACTTGTCACATGGGATTTTAAAAAATATTTTACCACATGTAACCTTACAATATAAAGCTTTTACACTTGTTTCTTCTCCCTAGAATGCAATTCTCCTGCAACATCAGAGTCGATGCCTTCAAAATATTTATTCTCAACTTACATTTTACATTTCCAGATATTTTTAAAAGATTGATTTATTTTTTGACACAGTTGTCTCTCTCTGTTGCCCAGGCTGAGATGCATTAGTGTAATCATGGCTCACTGCAGCCTCAACCTCTCTAGGCTCAGGTGATTCTCCCATTCAGCTTCCCTAGTAGCTGGGACTACAAGAGCTGTTCATCACATCCAGCCAATTTTTGTATTTTGTAGAGATGGCGTTTTGCCATAGGATTTTGCCCAGGCTGGTCTCCATCTCCTGGGCTCAAGCAATTCATCCCCATCAGCCTAGCTAAGTGCTTGGATTACAGGAGTGTTACTACCAAAGACTAAGTGTTAATAATCACATCATGGAGAATGGGGTAACCATCACTTCAAGCATTCATCCTTTGTGTTAAAAACAATTCAAATATACTTTTTTTTTTTTTTTTTTTTGGAGACGGAGTTTCGCTCTTGTTACCCAGGCTGGAGTGCAATGGCGCAATCTCGGCTCACCACAACCTCCGCCTCCTAGGTTCAGGCAATTCTCCTGCCTCAGCCTCCTGAGTAGCTGGGATTACTGGCACGCACCACCATGCTCAGCTAATTTTTTGTATTTTTAGTAGAGATGGGATTTCACCATGGTGACCAGGATGGTCTCGATCTCTTGACCTCGTGATCCACCCACCTCGGCCTCCCAAAGTGCTGGGATTACAGGGTTGAGCCACCGCACCCGGACTCAAATATACTCTTACAGTTATTTTTAGATACACAATTAAGTTATTATTGACTATGGTCATTCTAAGGTTGTGCTATCAAAGAGTAGGTCTTACTCATTTTTTCTAACTTTTGCGCATTAACTATCCTTACCTCTCCTCCAATTCCCCACTACCATTTCCAGCCTTCTACTCTCTACCTCGATGAGTTTAATTGTTTTAATTTTTAGACACAACAAATAAGAGAGAACATGCAATGCTTGTCTTTCTTGCCTGGCTTATTTCACTTCATAATAGTTCTTTCTGAGGCTTGCTTTAGGTATTTAGGGTACTTTGTGATTTCATATCAATTTTAGAGTTGTATTTCATTTCTGTAAAAAATACCCGAAGTTTTTGATAGGGATTGTGTTAAATCCATAGACTAATTTGGGTAGTGTGAATATTTCAATAATATCACTTCTTTGATCCATAAATACAGGATGTCTTTTCATTTATTTGTGTCTTTGATAATTTTTTCATCAATGTTTTATACATTTCAGTGTACAACATAAATACATCCTTGGTTAAATTTACATCAAAGTATTTTATTCTTGTTGATGCTGTTGTAAATGAGATTTATGAAATTCTTATTTTTTAAAATTAGATAGCTTGTAATATTTGGATATTTCTTAATTTTGTAAATGAGATTTATGAATTTCTTAATTTTTAAAATTAGTTGGTAATGTTTGAGAATGCAACTGATTATTGCATGCTGATTTTCTGTCCTGCAAATTTACTGAATTTATATATTAGTCCTGTCAGGTTTTTGTTGTTGTTGTTGACTCTTTATGTTGTTTTTAAGATATAAGATAAAGCCATCAGCAAACAGATGATTTTACTTATTACTTGCTAAATTGGATGGCTTTATTTATTTGTTTAGCTGGCCTAATTGTTCTGGATTGGACTTTTGGTCCAACATTGAACAGGTGGTGGGGTGAAATAGGGCATTCTTGCTTTGTTGTTGATTTTCGAAGACAACCTTTCAGTTGAGTATGATGTTAACTGTGGGCTCTTCATATATGGCCTTCATAAAATTAAGGTAAATTCCATCTATATCTAGTTTGTTGAGTTTTTTCCATAAGAGGTTGATGAATTTTGTCAAAAGCCTTATGTTTTTTTCTACATCTGTTGAGATGATATGATTTAGAACCTTTATTCTGT